TTTTCCTATTGGCCTCAGTTGCTTTTAAGGTATCTGCTTTAGTTTCTCTGCGTTGAGGGCAGCAAATGCTAGCTAATTTTTTAGGTGTCTTACCTATCCTCACCCCTCCCTTGTGTGCTCTCACTTTTATCATGTGCTCATAGTCCAATCCCCTTGTTGTGTTTGCCCTTGATCTAATGTCCACATATGAGGGAGAACATACGATTTTTGGTCTTTTGGGCCAGGCTAACCTCACTCAGAATGATGTTCTCCAATTCCATCCATTTACCAGCAAATGATAACATTTCGTTCTTCTTCATGGCTGCATAAAATTCCATTGTGTATAGATACCACATTTTCTTAACCCATTCGTCAGTAATAGGGCATCTTGGCTGTTTCCATAACTTGGCTATTGTGAATAGTGCTGCAATAAACATGGGTGTGCAGGTGCCTCTGGAGTAACCTGTGTCACAGTGAATTCCTCTTTCATATCTTGCATTATCTTCCTTATTTTATTCAGCTATTTATTTGAATTCTCTTTGAGTTCATTCAACTGTTTATTTGTATCCTCTTTGAATTCATTCAGATGCTTACACACATCTTGTTTAGTTTCTTCTATCATTCTTATTATTGTGTTTTTGAGTTCATTGTTTAAAATTTCATACACTTCACTATTAAGTAATTTATTTATTTATTTTTACCTTATTTTTTCATATTTCTTGTATTTTCTTTTGTTTTATTTCATTTTTTGTGGTGCTGGGGATCAAACCTAGGACCTTGCATGTGTATTCTACCACTGCGCTACATCTTCCACCCGTAGATTTATTTTTAAGGAGTAATATATTTGTATCAATTTATTAAATACTAAAATTGTTAAAAATAAAAATAATACCTTCACAATGGCAAATAAATTGTTTAAATAGAATGCTAGCCTCACTGGGTGAAATATATTCATAGCAACACTCTTCTATAAACATCATTTTGAAAACATGCAATGTATCGCTCAGATTTAATCAACAGTATTTCATGTCAGTATATGACATGACAGTACAATGTTTAAATGAAACAGGCAATAGAATTTACTCAAACTTTATTTATATGTATAAAAAGCATATGTAACAGGAGCTCATTAAAATAAAAACACAACTATGTTTCAGGAAAAATATACATTCATAAGAATTGATTCCTCTTTCCAGATAATGAAAATACTAACATATTTATACTGAGTTAGCTTAAACTGTTAAACTGTTAAGGAAACATTTTTAAACAAAAGAGTTGGAAGAAATAACTCAGAAGACTGAGTGCATCAGTATATGTCATACATGTTCCAAAATGACCACATAGATAAAAGAATCTAATTTTTAATATATATATTTTTTGGTGATACTGGAGTTTTAACTCAGGGCCTCATGCTTGTTAGACAGACACTCTACCACTTGAATCACTCCACCAGCCCTATTTTTTCTTTTTTCTTTTTTTTTTTCCAATGGTACTGTGGTTTGAACTCAGGGCTTTGCACTGGTAAGACAGGTGCTCTACTGCTTGAGCCATACCTTCAACTGGGACTCAAACACAGAGCCTTGCATAAGCTAAGCATACACCACACCACTGAGTTATTCCCCCAGATCAATTTAATTTGGTAAAAAAATTACAGAAATGCTAGACATTCTTCTAATAGTATAAATGCATAATATTTCAAATGAAGGTACTACTAAAAATTTATTCACATTTAATTAAAACAGTAACAGTAGGACAGACATGATATTGAGCTTTTGTTAAGCACTAAATTTTTTAGCATTAAAAATTCTCTCGTACATTTAGGAAGAGTACATACACACATAAATTATCTGAGTAATAGAAAAAAATGATTAGAATTTTAGAAGCAAATAAGAAAGCAAAAAACCTGAGAATGCTGTTACTCTACAGTGCTTGACTATTCTGCGTTTTCCTCCATCTCTCTGCATTCACAGATGCAGAACTTGGACAGTCAGGGTTCACACTCCCTTTAGCTTCTTTGTTTTTCATCTGCCTTACTGAAAGTCTAACCTTACTAATGGGTATTTGTCTCTTGCAAGTCCAGTTATCCTTTTGTACCCATATTCCATTCATTTACTGATTTGTAGTAGAGTGGGAAACTGACCTAGTCATAGATAAAATCCTGTGTGAAATAGATTTAATTATTAACACTAGTTAAGTGCCTAGAAGTGTGCACCTGTGTGCATGCACACACACACACACATGCACACATCACTCAAACTAAACAATAAATCTACCATCAAACAAACACAAAACAGGAACAGAAAAAGGTGAATGAAACAGAAATGTATGTCGGTGATTTTTATATTGAGATATTTCCCTCCAATCATTATAAGCATTTGTCAATACAGTTCTATGACATTTCACTTTTTATATTTAAAATATCATGATCTAAGAATTGGATGCTTTATAAGTACCATGACTTCACAATTTCAGTGAATTTTAGATTTATTGGCACTACAGCAACCACACTGCACTAGTATATGATGGTAAGTGACAAATCTAGCCTTGTTGCTGGGACAGAATGGGGATTTCACAGCTTCTGAAGCTAGCTTTGCAGTTAGACTTTTGGGAGTAACAAAAGTAAGTAAGTTCACGGAATATTAAAAATTATGATTAATAAAGGATGCATAGAGGTCTAAAGGTGTAGCTCAGTGGTAGAGAGCTTGCCTAGCAGGTGCAAGGCCTTAGGTTTGATCCCCAGCACTGCCAGTATTTCTCACATATCTGTATGAGAATACATATGTTTATATATGAACATATTTACATGTATGTACATAAAAGAAGCTTGTATATTTCTCTCATGGATTTCAAATTAAGTAACAAGATCCCTGGATTATAATGAGAGGCCGTGGAATTCTACAGGTACGAGATGGGACTAGGATTGTGTGCTTTCTCATTCTAAACCCAGCTCTTAGATTTTAGGCAAGTTATGCCTTACTCTGATTATTACAAAGCGAACAAAGTCAAGTTTGCGTGTAACCTTTTAAAGAGGATTAAACAAGTGCAAAGCGCACAGTTACAAGAGAAAAGGTGTTTATGTAAAGTCAAGATATGACCCTAGTGGAATTCTATAGGTAATGTGGATGCCTTAAAAAAAAACAAAACCCTTTTCCTATATAAATCCAAATGTTGCTAGATGATTTGCAACAAGCAACCAAAGAGACTCTGAGAATCTAAAAAGCATAAACTGCCTTAATGGAGATCATGCTATCTTTTTGTTTGTTTGTTTGAGACAGGACCTCACCAAATAGCCCAGCCTTGAATGAGATTCTCCAGCCTCCCAAGTGCTGGGATTACACCTGTAATCACACATGCACTGTGATATGATGTATATTTTCTAAACACTTAATTTGGAAGGAATTATCAAATGCATGTGGGTTTGCAATCTCACCTATGTAGAAATATAAATATAAAAGAACAATGTATAAATAATCTTAAATGATAGAAAAACGCAATGTCTGACAAAAACATGAAGAACAGTATTTTCTAGTCTATTTTTCAGGAATATGTTGTTTCTTGACCTGTAAAGAGGAAACAAATTCACATATACTTACATACCATAAAAATTAGAACACACCAACTCCAGAGGTTTATAGTTTATACTCTGCTACATTTTTGAGGGGTGGGGGTGGTGCTAGGGAATCTAACCCAGGGCCTTGTGTGCATGTTAAGCACAGGTTCTCCTAGTGAGCTATACCCCTAGTTCCTCGGCTACATTATTAAAGAGAAACTGGTCATATATATGATTAGAATAGACAAAGTATAGAATCGACAAAGTGTAGGTCATACGCACATGATCAGAATAGACAAACACCTGTGGCACTTTTCTTTTGTGTAAGGACATATTAAGAGATACGAAGGGAAGCTGGGAGCATAGTTTAGAGTTACAGCATGTGCCTACTGTGTGGGAGGCTCTGGGTTTAATCCCAGGCACACGCATACACACTCAAAGAGATGCAATAACTTCAATCAATACTGTTATTTTTTTCATTTTACTCTGTGTGTGTGTGTGTGTGTGTGTGTGTGTGTGTGTGTGTGTGTAGCTGGGGACCAAATTGAACGCCTCCTACATGCTAGGCAAATGCTCCACACTTAGCTACACCCCTAATTTTAGTATTAAAAAAGCAAATTACTTGCTCTATATTCTTCCTTCCTTCTTTCTTCCCTTTCTTTCTTTTTGTTGGTGCCACTGAGATTTGAATTCCAGGCCTCATGCTTGGTGGGCAGGTGCTCTACCACTTGAGCCACTCCACCAGCCTTTTTTTGCAATGGTTTTTTTAAGATAGGGGCTCAAGAACTATTTGCCTAGAGCTGGGTTCCAACCTCGATCCTCTTCCCTCTGTACAGTTAGTGTAAGAACACAGTCTGTGGTAAGCATCAGGAAGCTTTTTTAAAATTAAAAAAAATTTTTTTGGTGGTACCAGAGTTTGAACTACTCAGGCTGCCACACTTGCTATGAAGGTACTCTACCACTTAAACCACTCTGCCAGCCCTTTTTCTTGGAGACAAGTCTCTCTATATAGTTCAGGCTGACATCAAATTTGTGATCCTCCTGCCTCAGCCTCCTGGGTGCTAGGATTATAGGCATGTGCCACTACCCCCATAGCTGTCACAAAGATTTCTGAACCACTAAAATACACATAGCAGGGCTGAGGATTTAGCTCAGTGGTACAGACTTGCTTAGCATGTGCAAAGCCCTTGTTCAATCCTTAGCACCAATAATAAAACAAACGAAAGAAAACACACCACAAAAACAGAAGTTTCTTCTTAGCTGCAAGGATATGGAGTCAAAGCCTATCACTATCAAGCCGATAGTGATCAGGTTCAGGTTGAAGATGCAAATGGAACTGCGGTGTGGTTCAAATGTTTACCCATCCTTTATCTTTTGCAGTTTGTTATAAAGAGCTGAGTAGACAGGTCTTTTTTTGGTTCGGGAAGAACAAACCATTCAAATAACATGAATTTCTTATAGCAAGGTGGGCTTAGTGAGATGGGAGAGACAGAGACTTTTTAAATACCCTAAATCCTTTTGCTGGCCCAGGATACGGTGGTGGTGGAGAAACATTTTGTTTTCTGGTCAGTGCCACTGCCTGTTCATAAGAAGGTAGTCCTGTGTCCTCCGCAGAAGGTGACGGAGACAAGACAGCCTCCTCAGGTCTTCTGAAAAGGATGGAGGGAGTGTGCGTACTTCTTGCATAGGCAGCTGAAGAACTAAACAGAGAGATAGCATTTAGGTTTCATAACGGCAGCATTTTGGGGTTAAGATGGTTACATTAAAAAATTCAGTTACTGCCAGACAACAGTGGGAGGCTGAGATCAGAAGGATAATGGTTCCAGGCCAGCCTAGACAAAAAGTTAGTAAACGCCCCCACCACCACCCCACCTCAACCACTAGCTGGGCATAGTAGTACACACCTGTCATCCTGGTAATGGTGGGAAGCTTAAAATAGGATTGGGGTCCAGGCTGGCCTAGACAAAAAGCAAAACCTTATCTCAAAATAACCTGAGCAAAAAGGGCTGGAAGCCTGGCTTAAGTGGTACAACACCTTTCTAACAAAGCCCTGAGTTCAAACCTTAGTACACCCCCAAAAAAAAAAAAAATCCAGCTGTGGGTCCAGCAGAGTGGCTCAAGTGGTAAAGCGCCTGCCTAGCAAATGTGAGGCTCTGAGTTCAAACCCCAGTACCACAGGGGGAAAAAAATCCAGTGATTTTGATAAATATTTAGCCTGATTGATTTATTTATCTGCAGTAATGGGGTTTGAACTCAGGGCCCTACACCTTGAGCCACTCCACCAGCCCTTTTTTGATAAGGTTTTTTTTTTCGAGATAGGGTTTCACAAACTATTTGCCTGGGCTGGTTTTGAACCTCAATTCTCCTGATCTCTGCCTCCTGAGTAGCTAGAATTATGGGTGTGAGCCACCAGTACCTGGCAAGCCCAATTTATTAATATAATACCACCTTTATTTTACTCATAGACTCTGAAAGAGTATCATTGTAGGGAAAAAGTAAAACTTTTGAAGTCAGACATGGGTTTGAAATTTAACTCTGTCATTCCATAGCTGTGTGAACAAAGTCAAGTTCTCTGACTCAGTTTGGTCTTTTGTAAAATGGGGATAATAGCCACCTCAACAGAGTTGTTTTGTGTGGACGGAGTAAGAGTTTTATATAAATAAAGCCTTCTGCAGTGTCTGGCCTACTATAATGAGGACTCAAAGTGTGAATTCTCTTTTCTCCTGCTCCCGAATTAAAACTTTCTGAAGCATGATATGAAATCAAATCCAAACTTTGTTGCAAGGGGCACAAATTCAAGTCAAGGAAATAGACGCCACAGAGATAATCACAAGAGCTGTCACGGTCTCTGTCTTCTGTTCTCTTCCATGGTCTTGCTACCTGGCTGATCCCTCCCAAATAGGACTTCGGTCATAACATTCTCCTCCTCAAAATCTAGCTGCACCTACTTTCCACGGAGTTACATTCTAACTCCCGAGCCTCCTTTCCCTTATTCTAGCCTCACCTTATTTTTTATAGCTCTCTATTCTTGCTAAGGTGACTTTTTTATATTCCCTTGCTATGTGCAGCAAATTCTCAGGTCTTTGTGCTTTCACTGGTATTGTTCCAATCTTGGAATCTTGTGTATTTCCCTCTCCCTCCTACTAACCTAAGGCCAACAATTTTCTTTAAAGCGGCTTAGTTTGGATTGGGGATATGGGAAGTGGTAGTCTTACCTCTGTGTGTGTGTGTGTGTGTGTGTGTGTGTGTGTGTGTGTGTGTGTGTATTGCACACTGTCTAGGTTGACAAGGCCTTTTGCTCTTGCTAGGCATGTGCTCTACCACTTAAGCCATGCCCACACCTTTTTACTTTGTTTTTGTTGTTGTTTGTTTCTTTTTTGCCAGTACTGGAGTTTGAACTCAGGGCCTCATGCTTGCTAAGCAGGCACTCTACCACTTGAGCCATCCCACCAGGCCTGGTTAATTTTGAGATAGGGTCTTGAGTTTATGACTGGGTTAGCCTGGACTATTTATACTTCCCTTAGAGCTGGTATGACAGGTCCATGCCCAACTTTTTAATTGGTTGAGATGGGGGCACTTGATAAATTTTTGCTCAGGCTGGTCTCGAACTATGATCCCTAGAATTACAGTCCTTTCAACTTTTGCCTTCTGAGTAGCTAGGATTCCAGGCATGAGCTACAGGAGCTCAGCAAGTTCTACCATTTTCAGCCAATAAAAGTTGAAAAGCAACAAAGGGCTGGTGTTTTAAATGTATGGCTTTCCCTTTTCACCTGTGAATTATAAAGTATAACTAAAACATTAGTAAACTAGTCTGTTCAGACTCTAAAGTTGGCTGATAAGGTATCTATGAATAAACTAACCTCCTGTAGTTATGACTAATGAGATAATTAAAATTCATAGTCAATATTGACTATTTTGGGTTTGAGGCCAGCCTGAACTACAAAGTAGAGGCCTGCCTCAAAAACAAAAAACTGAAAAAAAAAGACATAGGGAGTTAAATGGTGCCATGATTATGGCATGTCTTCTGTGTACATTATAGTAACCCTAAACCCTGGCTATCTTTTTGTTTTAAAGTAAGATTAGTTCTATTTAATAGCCTCACATTAAGTCAATATTTACAATTTCCTTCCCCTCGAGAGGTAGTTTACAACTCCCAAATGCTGTAAAATTTTCCAAACTAAATCAGCCAATTTGCCTCTGAAAATACCTTTTCCTTTTGGAAGTAATAATGAAATCTGAATTGGAAAAAAGGAAAGAAAAATTGCAGAGAGAAAAGAAAAGCAAAAGGTCTGGATAAATCTAGGAACTGGATAGTCAGCCCTTCAGTGGTCGAGAGGATACACATTTATTTAGAGGCTGGACACAATTCCTCCTTGTGGGAAATCTAGAGGGTCGGGCTGGTCATTTGTCACATTCATTAACTTATGACAAAATGATCTGTGTTTGCTTATAGGGAGCAGGAGAGACAGATTTTTTTTGAACAAGTAAATCTTTCCATGTTGACTTTCAAAATTTAATACAAAGAAGCATTGTAATAATTACATCAGTCATTAAATATTTACCTAGTGTAGATATTTAATCATCTTCTATCATCAAAATCAGAAAGTATGTACTAATGAATATTAGAAAGTGACATTATATTACGCCTGTTTTCTTCTACAAAATACAGGCCCCGAGAAATGAAAAGATCTTGTTTTCCATTTCTTGGCATGTTTTTACAGAGGCAAACTTTTCTGACAATGAGCTCATTTTTTAGTGTTTTCTTTCTCAAGTATTCCCACCCTGCCCCCCACCTTCAGAAACAGAAAAAGAATAAACAACTCTGCTGGAAGAGTTTCCTAGGACAATGCAGGCCACAAAGCACTTTAGTAAGTATTAAAGTGTTAGTCTCAGTACAACCACTCTGGAAAAAAATTTGGAGGCTACTCAAAAAGCTGGACATCGATCTACCATTTGATCCAGCAATACCACTCTTGGGGATATACCCAAAAGACTGTTACTCCAGAGGCACCTGCACATCCATGTTTATTGCAGCACTATTCACAATAGCCAAGTTATGGAAACAGCCAAGATGCCCCACCACTGACGAATGGATTAAGAAAATGTGATATCTATACACAATGGAATTTTATGCAGCCATGAAGAAGAACGAAATGTATCATTCGCTGGTAAATGGATGGAATTGAGAACATCATTTCTGAGTGAGGTTAGCCTGGCCCAAAAGACCAAAAATCGTATGTTCTCCCTCATATGTGGACATTAGATCAAGGGCAAACACAACAAGGGAACTGGACTATGAGCACAGGATAAAAGCGAGAGCACACAAGGGAGGGGTGAGGATAGGTAAGACACCTAAAAAACTAGCTAGCATTTGTCGCCCTTAACGCAGAGAAACTAAAGCAGATACCTTAAAGCAACTGAGGCCAATAGGAAAAGGGGACCAGGACTAGAGAAAAGGTAGAATCAAAAAGAATTAACCTAGAAGCGTAACACCCACACACAGGAAATCAATGTGAAGTCAACTCCCCGTATAGCTATCCTTATCTCAACCAGCAAAAACCCTTGTTCCTTCCTATTATTGCTTATACTCTCTCTACAACAAAAATTAGAAAATAAGGGCAAAATAGTTTTCTGCTGGGTATTGAGGGGGGGAGAGGGGAGGGGTGGAGTGGGTGGTAAGGGAGGGGTGGGCAGGGGGAGAAATGAACCAAGCCTTGTATGCACATATGAATAATAAAAGAAAAATGAAAAAAAAAAAATAAAGTGTTAGTCTCAAGCCTGGCAGAGAGGCCTAGGTGGTAGAGTGCCTGCCTAGCAAGCATGAATCCCTGAGTTCAAACCCCAGTACCTCTTAAAAAAAAAAAAAAAAGTTATTGTCAACGTAAGAGCATATCTAGTAAGCCTACCTTGAAACATTGCCTAAACTCAAAAGAGTTGCTGTTAGTTTTAGAGTGAGACATTGCTTGTAAAAATGCTCAGAGAAGGACTGGAGGAGTGACTCAAGTGATAGAGGTGCCTGCTTTGCAAGTGTGAAGCCCTGAGTTCAAACCTCAGTTCCACCAAAAAAAACCCAAAAACAAAAACAAAAACAAAAACCCACTGAGAACTCTACAGATTACACTGGACTACCATTAAGAAGAATTAATCTTAGTTTTAAAACAAAAAGATACTCCAGCTTAAACAAAGTGAGGTCATATCTCATGCACCTTGCAAGTTGGAGGCTGTGGATTTGGCATTAAGGTTCCAGAAGGGAGTTGAAGAGGCCCCCTAGAGCTGAAATCAGGCATCCAGACCTGCCTCAGCTGTAGCAATAGAGGCTGGGGGTCCTGCTTCTGGAGACCTCTATGGCTGTTTCCAGTGTGGATCTGAGGAAGAGGGAGGAAGATGGAACCTACAAGACTGAACAGGAATCCAGTGTAGAATTCTGTGATTGCTCTTCCCCTTGGTTGGAGGTATTTTTTAAGAATCTGTAAAGTGAAAGTGCTGCAAATAGCAACCATAGAGAATTCTGCGTGGCCTATAGAACAAGTTCAAAAAATCTGTTGAGTGAGCCAGCTTCCCATAGGAGAACCCCAAACTCTGGCAATTATTCTCTCACCCTTGAAGGCCCTGCTTGTAAGGAAGCCCTCCATTGTGCCTCTGCCTACTTCCCCAGGCTGTCTTTGCAGAACACCTGGAGGCAGAGACAAGACTGTGAAAG